ACTTTTAAATTGATAACATATATATAAACATAAAATTGATTTAGAAATTAAAAATGACATAAAATATAATGCTAATTTATTTTAAGATGAAAAACAATGAAAATGAAGAAAATGAAGAAAACAGAAGAAAATGAAGAAAATGAAGAAAATGAAGAAAATGAATAATGTTTTTTCTTTTACAATTCTATAACCAATCACTGCAGAACACGTGGCACAAGAAGCCTTATCAAACGTTTCTTATTTACGACCCGGATATATCTTCAGAATCCACTGTGACAATTTTTTGGGCTTATTATATTGGCTTAAGGCCCGACCGAATATTGCGATAATGATGCCCTAAGGATGCTCTAAGGGGATAAGTGGGAGGATGGTGATTAGGAGTTTTAAATTAGTATAATAATGTAACATGTTAAGTTAAGACCCAAATTTATAGAGTGGATTATTGGTTGAACCTCTAGAATCTTAAAAAAATAAATAATATAATAATGAAAAAATATTAAAAAATATTAAAATTAGAAAAATAACTTTTAAATTGAAAACATAAAAAAATAAACATAAAATTGATTTGAAAATAAAAAGAAACAGAAAATACAATTCAAAATTATTAATAACAACAAAAAATGAAGATAAAAATGAAGAACATTAAAAGATACAAACATATTAATTAAAGCACACAAACATTTTATTAAATTAATACAAAGTTTATAAACCTTGTTAATCATTTGAAAGATGTCCAAATGGAAAAATGAAAAATGAAAAATGTTTTGAGGGAGAATGGTGAAAAATGAAAAATGTTTTCTCTTGCAATTATTTCTAACCACTCAGTACTTTACATGTGACATAAGCAATCCCCTCAAAAACATCTTAACATCGAACCGAATACTCCTTCGCATTGAACTGTTTTATTATTTCGGTCTTTGTTTAATGGCCTAAGGCCCGTTCGTCTACCCCGATAAAGATGGCCTAATAGACTTCAAGGATACTCCAGCCTCCATAGATTGGTATCTATAAGACAGGGAAGCTGAAGTTTTGTTGATCGCATTGAACAAACACACATCATGCAACCCAAATATCAATTTATCTACTCAATGACTTACCATACTATCGATCACCCACATCAGCCCTTTGAACTGAGCTTCTTGCTTATCCTTTAGCCTAGGTAAAACAATCTGATTGTGTAACAAAACCACTCATTCATGGTTCCTCAGCACCCAAGCACACCCTGCTAACTTGTTTCTGTTGGACCAAGCAATACCAACATTACACTTAAGCCAATTCTTAAGAGGAGGTTTCCAACCTTTTCTTCCTCTTTGAGCCACCTGATTGTTCCTACCAGCAGTCCCACTGCTTCCAAGTGTCTCTTCGTTATCAGAACCTTCAATGTTCTGAGCTTCTACCCATTCATTCCAGCCATCCCTTATTTTTTTAGCAGTCTCAAGGGGAGTAAAACCTTTACCTTCAAAGGAATTCATATTCCTATTTTTCCATATTTTCCATACTGTCCAAGGGAAGGATTTTTTTAAGTTCATCTGGCCATAATGGATTCATAACATTCACCAAAAGATATTGAATGTTGGAGAACACTGAAACATCATGAAAACCATTAACCGGAGAAGGTATACCAGTTAAAGCCCAAACTTGCCGAGATAATGAACATGTAAAGAGAACATGGTTTACTGTTTCATTCTCTTCTCCACAACTTTGACATCTTCCATCCATCTTGATTCCTCGACCATTGAGAGCAGTAGCTACAGGTAAAGCACCAGAAAAAGCCTTCCATAAGACCACTTTAATCTTTGGATCGGTATGAAGCTCCCACACTTTATTCTTTAGTTCATTTGTAAAAGGAAGCTGTCTAGCTGCTATACTCACCTCTGAAACATTAGTTTGGGAAGCTAGCCAATAAATCGACTTCATTGTGAAATCACCAGACTTATTATGTTTCCATGAATAAAAAATCTTCCATCTCATTCACAGGTTTGATCTTCCTTATTCTCAAAATATCATGATGAAGAAAATGTTCATTCAACTTATGAGAGTCCCAATCCCTTCTGTTCATGTCTAGAAGCTCATATACTCTTAGATCAGGATTGAAAAATTGGTTCCTCCTCTACGGTGCTCTCCACTCACCATTATCCTCAATCCACTCATCCAACCAAACCTTGAATGTTTTACCATTACCCACATTCTTTTTTAACCCCTGACATAATAAATCTCTCCCATGCATAATGCTTCTCCAAGCAAAAGATGACATGCTTCCTAAAACAGCCTCAAGGAAACCAGTTTGAGGGAAATATCTATTTTCAAAACCTGAGAAAATAAACACTCTGGGAATTGCAAAATACGCCAAGCTTGTTTGGCCAAGAGAGCTTGATTGAAAGATTCAATGTCTCTAAAGCCCAATCCCCCTTGATCTTTGGGTAAACAGAGTTTCTCCCAGCTTTGCCAATGGATCTTGTCAGCATGATCAGCATTACTCCACCAAAACTGAGCCATAGCACTAGATAAATTAGCTACTGTAGTCTTTGGGAGCTTGAAACAAGACATCACATACACATGCATGGCCAATCCAACATACTTCAGTAAGACCTCTTTTACCACCCTAAGATAAAAACTTAGTAAACCAGCCTGAGAGTTTAGATTTGAGACGGTCTTTAATGTAGTTTAGGAGATCCTCCTTTGAATCACTAAAGCATTCTGGCAAACCTAATTAAGTGCCAACTCCACCTTCTTTAAATATGTTCATCTTCTTTAAATACTCACTTACCTTTTTTCTTTCTCGACATTTTTTTTTGTTTCTCTTTCTTTTTGTTTATATTTCTTCTTCTTCCACTTTGTTTTCTAATTATCCATTAATATTGTTATAGAGTTTCAAATTGTTTCAATACAACATCTATTTGATCTACCTGCTTCTGCTGTGGATGAGTAAAGATGTTTCACTCGAAGATGTGTCAACACCCGGTGGACCAGATCCATCAGCCAAATTTTGCATTTGTCTCTCAGTGGACCAGATCTGGTAGATCGAAATCGGTAGACCAAACTTGTTAATGTTTACTATTTAATCTTGTCTATCTTAAAATTTCTTAAAACCACAACTGATTGACTAGAGGATGAAACAAATAATGCATCTATGAGAGATGTCATCCACGATCTAACCAAATTTACGCTATGGATAACACATTTGTCTGTAAATGGACTAGATTTGATGTACTAGATCTAGTAGACCAAATCCGATGAAAATATCATGGACAAGAATTCATGACATATTCGAGCCATTAGTTGTCCATAGACGAGTAAAATAGACAAGTTTTTTCCCAAATTTGGTCCATTAACAGTTGTAAACAAGACTAAACTCAAACACATAATCACATCATCGACTTCATGCTTCAAACATGGACAACTTAAGATAGTAAGTAAAGTGTCTACATACATTAAAAAACATATTATTCGTAGACATTCTCGATAACCTCTTATCTACTTGTCTACGTTTATTAATTAAAGAAAACTGTCAACAGATCATAGACATCAACGAAACATCTTGTCTAAAGGAACAAGTTGTCTATACAAACTTTATTTACAACATCCTTTCTTTTGTTTGCTTCTTCCAAAAATTCATTCACTTAATTATGCTTCATATCCTATGAGTAATAGCCTAAACCAAACGCATTTGATGCTCGTTAGATTGCCTACTGAACTCGTCCTTGGACTCAAAGCCATGACCAGTAATGTCCATCGAAGAGAGATTTTCCAGAACATTCACACATCTGCAAAGTATTTTCCTGATGGACATTCAAGCAACCATAGTCATTTTTAATTGTTTATGCCTTTGTTGATCTTGTCCGTTGCTAATAACCTCCTAAGCTCGAAAAAATTTGGTCCTCCTTCTTCACCATTCAACCACTTCCAGAAATCGTCTCTCTTACCTGTTCTCCATTAACAACACTCGGATCTTTTTTTGTGGTTCAGTTAACTCTCTAATTACCAAATAAATTATTTGTCCTCTGAATAATACCTCAATTATCACCATTTAATACTCTATGTAGCTGCCAGAAAAATGTTCCATCAAACTCACATTTTTTTGAACCAAACACAAAAAAATGTCTCATAATCCTAGTATCACTTTTAAACTGATGCTAACTTAGAAATAAAATGGTGCTACATTACACGATTTTTGTAGTGTATATATTATGTTAATATTTTCAACGTGTAATACAGTAAAACCTCTATAAATTAATAATGTTGGGACCATGAAAATCTATTAATTTATAGAGGTATTAATTTATCGATAAATTAATAATTATTAATTTATAGAGAGATATTTCTAATTTGGAAAATATTTTCAAAACAATATTTAAAAATAAGATTTAATCATGATAATTAGTATTTTATATAATCAATTACAAATAAAACAATAATTATTATGTATTAAAAGAGAATGCTAACTATTTTTATATAGTAAAATATTAGAAATAAAATCTAACAAAAATTAATGTGTCTATATATACATATATTTTGAAAATTTTACCTAATTATTAATTTATAATATTGATGGGAACATATATTTACAAAGGATTTTCATAAAATTTATTATCTTATTATTTTATCGAAATGTGTCTATAATTACACTGGTCCCAAGTTGGGACCGGAGAAATTTATTAATTTATAGAGATTATTAATTTATCGAGTATTAATTTATAGAGGTTTTACTGTATATATTTTATTATAAAACTATTTTTCTAATTCTTCCATTCTAATAAAATATGTTATAATTCAAACACTTTATAATTTATACTTAAGCATATCAATCAAGCTAAATCATTTTTGGTCCTCATTGACATCCACACATTTGTGGTATCCTCACGATTAAACCGTGTGTTTATTATATTCAAATCCCCCCATAAAAATATCCAACAGCTAGACACGTACACATGTGAACACATGTCTCTCACACACCCACCCACCCAAATTTTCCACAGGCTCCAACTAAACCCGACCCGACCCGGTAAAACCAATCTCCCAAATTTTACTCCGTCGTGAACGCTTCAAAAAGCCTAAGAAACTTTCTTCCTCTAATCTCTCTCGCAATTCTCTTCTTCTCTCTTTCCATAATCTCCAATTTCAAAAATACCTAAATCAAGATGAAGCTTACGAACGATAACGAAGAGGTTCGAGAAATGGAGACGGCGGAACACGAAGAGATATCGTCATCGTCACCGTCGCCGTCGCCGTCGCCGTGTTCGTTAGTGATCGATGAGTTTCCGGTGAAGAGATCGATCGTTGTAGGTTATGCTCTTACATCAAAGAAGATTAAGAGCTTTTTACAACCAAAACTCGAAGGCTTAGCTAGGTTTGTGGATTCCGTAACCCTAATTTTTTCTTCTTCTTCTTCTTCTTCTCCATGCATTTATATAGGAGTTTTTGAAATTCATGGTTTCGTGTTTCAGATTCTCAATTTTAAAATTAGTTTTCTGAAGAATATTCGTTTTTTTCTTCACTATTAAATTGTTTTTTTTTTTTTTGGCAAAGGTTTGATTTTTCTTCAGTAGTTTTGGAATCTTTGACCTTTTTATTCTTCTTGTTAATGGATTTAGATTTACAAGAAGTATGTGTAGACTTAGTGGTATCACTGTGTCACCAATGTTATTAAAAAAGTTACTTACTGTATTGTAAATTGTGTTTGTGGCTTGTTTGTGCAGGAATAAAGGGATAATATTTGTGGCAATAGATCAGAATAGGCCACTATCAGAGCAAGGACCATTTGATATTGTGTTGCATAAGGTTAGTTTATTAGATCTTTGTTAACCAACCCTCTTGGTTTTTTTATACCTTGATCTTATTTTGTTTTGCCTATGCTTTCCTTTTTATTTGTATCAGAAGATATGTCTTTGGGAACATCCCCTGCTCAGGTTGTTAGAAACTAACCTTGTTTGCATCTTCTTGCTCAGCTTCTTTTCATCCAAGCCTGATAATCGTCGTTTGGTGTTTGTTTTACATGTACTTTGCAGCAAATTGGAAAAGAATGGCGTCGGATTCTCGAGGTTAGTCTTGAGACTGTTTCTCGTGGCGCATTCTTACTTGACTTTGTAGATGATTAGACTGTGTGTTTTATCTTTATGTGGTTATGGGTACCCATTGCGTATTGTAGTTATGTTGTAACTTTTTGCAAGATGAGAGATGGTGGTTAATAGTAGAACCTAGAGTTCTTTATTATGTCCAAATCTTGACTCTTTCCTTGTCATGAGTCATGAGTTCATACTTGAGGTTGAGACTTTAATTTTCCCACATGTGAGAGAATACTTAATACTTCCAGGGGGTTATTATAAATGTGACCGCTCAGGTTTTCTAGAATTATATTACCAGTTCTGCCTTTTGAATGTCCTTGATGGGTGTGTTTGTTCCTGATAATAGTTGAACGTAAAACTATTCCATAATTTGAAAGTATGCTCTCGTGTCTACAGTCTACACATATAAGACATCATCTGTTGTTGGTTTGGTGCAAAAAACAAGACATTTCACCTCTCATAATTGCTACAATAGTAGAAATGAAAGTATGCGTCTGTGTGTGTTATATCTTATAGCTATTCAGATCTCGCGATGTCTGACTATGATTCATTAGGAAGATGCCAACTTCTGAGGATAGAATAGTATGCAGTTATACATATTAGTTGCAAGTTGTACCAATAAATTAGCTTAATCCTTAATCTTAGTTGTAAGAGGTTAATCCTTAATCCTGGAGATCTTGACGATATAAGGGTAGAAGTTTAATGCTTGTAATCATCAGTAGGGATGCAGTCTTGGGTGTCGAAAATTAGACTAATGTCTCACGGTGTCTATCATTTCAGGAATATAGACTAGGACATCCAGATGTCACAGTTCTTGATCCTCCAGATGCAATACTACATCTCCGTAATCGTCAGTCAATGCTTCAGTGTGTTGCGGACATGAATCTGTCTGATAGTTATGGTAAATAAGAGTTTCAGTATGTCTGAATAGTATAAGGGATATAAGAGTTTCAGTATGTCTGAATAGTATAAATTTTTCTATAAGGGATATAAGAGTTTCAGTATGTCTGAATAGTATAAATTTTTTGGTTGTGCAGGACGAGTTGGTGTGCCCAAACAATTGGTAATTAAAAGGGATGCATCCTCAATCCCGGAGGCTGTCAATGAAGCTGGCCTGAGATTACCACTTGGTATGATTCCTATCCTATTAATGATTTAGCTTCATGTGACATTGTGCTGTATTTACAAAAGCATTCATGGGCTGTGTTTCTTCAGCTGAAGTTTTTAGTTGTGCATTATCAATGGTTTTTTAGGTAAATTTATTTTTATTTGGTGTTTTATTAAATTATCAGTTGCAAAGCCTTTGGTTGCTGATGGAAGTGCAAAGTCACATGAGCTTTCGTTGGCTTACGATCAGAACTCCCTTCTAAAGCTTGAGCCTCCTCTTGTTCTTCAGGAGTTTGTTAACCATGGTATGAACTTTTTAGAGCGTCCTAATATTGGTAGTCGCCTGATTCAGAACTTGAATATTTTGGCTATCTGACAAATGCTGGTCTTTTGTAGGAGGTGTTCTTTTCAAAGTTTACATTGTTGGGGAGGCTATTAGAGTGGTCCGGCGTTTCTCCCTACCTGATGTCTCCAGACGAGAACTCTCCAAATCAGCTGGTGTATTCCGTTTCCCCCGAGTCTCTTGTGCTGCAGCGTCTGCTGATGATGCAGATTTAGACCCAAACATCGCTGGTAAAATCCTCTTCATCGTCACAGATGTCGTCTGCATTTTTCCTTTTCTGAGGAACTAACAGTATCTTTATTCTCGTTGCAGAGCTTCCGCCACGTCCTTTGTTGGAGAGACTGGCAAAGGAACTCCGTCGTGGATTGGTATGTTTCAGTCCGCTCTAGCATATAACCAAGCAGGAGTATTTTATCAAACTCTTCTGAATTCCAATTTGTTGCAGGGTCTAAGGCTGTTCAATTTAGACATAATTAGAGAGCATGGGACAAGAGATCGGTTTTATGTAATCGACATTAACTATTTCCCAGGCAAGTTCGATTTCCACACACCTCTTCTTTTTGGCTATAGTCTAATCACAAACATGTGGTTTAACAAAAACAATTGTGCAGGATACGGGAAGATGCCAGAGTATGAGCATGTATTCACTGATTTCTTACTGAGCATAATGCAAAGCCAATGTAAGAAACGAGCTTTGGCAGATCAATACTAACTCTAAGGGAGAGACCATATTGATCCTCCCAAATGGAAAAAACCAAAAAAAGAAGATTAGTCTTGCAACCATTATTACTGTACAGGACAAAGCACTGTTTCCCTTCCTCGATGCGGTTCTTTACCTTCATTGTGCTGTATAAAGAACAATGGGAGATTGCATTAAAAGAAAAAAATTGTCTGAATCTCAGGATAATGTCTCCCATGTCAAAACGTGAAGATCACGCAACTACTCTTTCACTTTGTGACTACTTCTCTACTTTGTTTTGCTTAGCTTTGTACTACCCTGATCTTAATATCCTATCTTTCGGTTTTCATCAGTTACTTTGTTTTAAGCTTAGAACTCAGTTTGGTTCAATTCATTCGTTAGACACAATAAAACTCTTATCGGTTTCGGATGCATTGTTTTGTGAATGGCCGTGTAGCCCGCTGTGGCAAACTCGACGCCTTTGACAATTGAATCGATTGACCGTTCAAAATTTTTAGCCGCAAAATTTCAAAACGTCGCGTTCGCTGCGACTAAACCAATAGGCTCATCCTAAAGTATTGTGTACACTGATTTTTAACCCCTTATCTACAACATAAGTTCTGAAGATTAAAATAAAAACCTTTTGAAACCTTAATAAAAGGTTTACTTGCATTGTAAGGTTTATTAAACACAACACAAGTAGGAAAACGAAACCTGAGCTTAAGCTTTGAGTTCTTTTTCACATGCTTTTCTATGACAACAATTGAAGCCTTCTATTTCAATCCAAGCAAACTACACTTTCCTGGGTTTAAGACAAAGCAAGTGTACTGTAGTTTTATCCACAAACCACAAAAACCAATATTAATTTCTTGTCTTAGAGTTCACTTGAAACTCTCTATGTCCTGTCTTATGACTCTTGAGCCATATATAAATAACAGAGCATGTTCTACACAAGGACCACCCAAACCATCTAACTTACTATATACCTTTGCAGTTCTCCTAAAGCTCTACAGTTCTCTTCCCTGAAACCATTATCTCTGTTTTTGTGTTCTTAATAGGGACTTGCTATGGAGAAGAATACAAAAATGAGCAATGCAAGTGACGATGATGAAGCTAAGGTTCGTTTAAAACAGCTACTTCGTAATCATAACATGCTAATTTCTCCAAACTAACTTACGTTTATTTTGTAATTTACGTTTTAGCAGCATCACACTAACGAAGATCAAGAGAAGATAATCCTAAACCCTAATTTTGAGGATGGTCTTAACAACTGGACTGGAAGAGCATGCAAGATTGTCTTACACGAATCCATGGACGGAGGGCGAATAACTCCGCTCTCAGGAAAAGTTTTCGCATCAGCGACGCAGCGTAAAGACACATGGAATGGTATCCAACAAGAGATTACAGGAAGGTTTCAGAGAAAACGTGTGTATGAAGTAACAGCATCGGTTCGAATATTTGGCAACAATGTCACAAGTGCAACAGTACAAGCCACTCTCTGGGTCTTAAACGCGAACCAACGTGAACAATACATCGGCATTACCAAGTTGGTTCGCTATTTCTTCTATTGCTAAACATCAAAGCTTTGGTATAAATGAATTGAAACTGATATGTCAATGAATGATATTAGTGTGCAGGCCACTGATAAGAATTGGGTAGAGTTAAAGGGTAAATTCATAATCCATGGTTCGCCATCGAGAGCAATACTATACCTTGAAGGTCCTCCTCCAGGAACTGACATACTTCTCAATAGTTTAGTTGTCAAACATGCTCGAAGGAATCGTCCTTCTCCTCCACCCTTCTACGAGGTTTCTCCTTAAGCATAAACATATCATATCAAGTGATGCTACTAATCACTTTATAATATGATCACATATACAGTAAAACCTCTATAAATTAATACTTTTTAAATTAATATAATCCTATAAATTAATAAATTTCTCGAGTCCTAATTAAGTTGGGGACTGAAATTATAGACATATTTCGATAAATTAATAAATTAACATTTTTTTGAAAACTATTTTGTATTTTTTTGATACATGTAAATAATTTAGTGAAATGTGACTATTGTATATTTTTTTTTATTCTTAAAGTAACATTAATTTATGTTAGAAATCAATTCAAATAGATTTCATGTGTCTTATTCTTATACTGATTTATTCAAGACATCATGATAGTTATTTTTCTTGTAATTGATTCTAAAAAAAATATTAATATAATGACTAAATTTTATTTTTGATGTATATATATTTTAAATTACCAAATTAGAAAAAAATTTCAATTAATTAATAATTAATTTATCGATAAATTAATAGATATTCACTGTCCTTGCTTTAGATGTCCACATTTTTATCAGGAGTTGAAATCATCCAATTGCAAATACTAATCTATGTTTTTTTTTTGTTTTATAGAATCCCGGTTACGGAGTCAATATAGTCGAAAACAGTGAAGTGATAGATGGAAGAACTACTCAACCATGGTTTACCCTAGGAGACTGCAAGTTGAGTGTTGGACAAGGCGCTCCTCGCACTCTACCCCCAATGGCTAGAGACACACTCGGTCCTCACAAGCCTCTTAGCGGAAACTACATCCTCGTGACGAACAGAACACAAACTTGGATGGGTCCGGCTCAGACGATAACAGATAAAATCAAACTCTTTTTGACATATCAAGTCTCAGCATGGGTCAAGATTGGTGTGGGAGTGAGTGGTAGTAGTAGTATGAGTCCTCAAAATGTGAATATCGCACTTAGCGTTGATAACCAATGGGTCAATGGAGGACAAATTGAGGTCACTGTTGGTGATTCATGGCATGAAATTGGTGGATCCTTTAGGCTTGAGAAGCAGCCAGAAAATGTTATGGTTTATGTTCAAGGTCCCGGAGCTGGCATTGATTTGATGATCGCGGGAATGCGGATTTTCCCCGTGGATCGTCGAGAGCGTGTGAGATGTCTTAAAAGACAAGTTGATCAGGTTTAAATTCTCTTCAAATCTCCTTAGATTATAATGTTGTTTAATAAGTTTATGAATTCAAGATTGATGTGTCTTGTAGGTACGTAAGCGCGACATTGTCTTGAAATTCTCGGGACTAGACGACTCGTTCGATTTGTTTCCTTACATAGTGAAGGTGAAACAAACATACAACAGTTTCCCAGTTGGAACATGTATCAGCAGATCAGACATAGACAATGAAGACCTTGTAGATTTCTTCACAAAGAACTTTAACTGGGCAGTGTTCGGAAACGAGTTAAAATGGTTCTGGACAGAGTCCGAACGCGGAAAGCTAAATTACCAAGACGCAGACGACATGTTAGATCTTTGCATAGGCAATAACATAAACGTTAGAGGACATTGTATCTTCTGGGAAGTTGAGTTCAGAGTCCAGCCATGGGTTCGGCAACTTAACAAAACCGACCTTATGAACGCGGTCCAGAAGCGTCTTACGGATCTCCTAACGCGTTACAAAGGTAAATTCAAACACTATGATGTCAACAACGAGATGCTTCATGGTTCTTTCTATCAAGACAGACTTGGAAAAGGTGCACGAGCACTCATGTTCAACATTGCACATAAGCTTGATCCATCTGCTCTGCTCTTTGTAAACGATTACCATGTCGCGGACGGGGATGACACACGCTCGTCCCCGGAGAAGTATATAAAACAAGTTCTTGATTTGGAAGCTCAAGGAGCACCTATAGGAGGCATAGGGCTTCAAGGACACATGGTGAGTCCTGTTGGTTCAATTGTGTGCTCTGCTCTTGATAAGCTCTCTGCTCTTGGCCATCCCATTTGGTTCACTGAGATTGATGTCTCCTCTAGCAATGAGTATGTTAGAGGAGAAGATCTTGAAGTCATGTTGTGGGAAGCCTTTGCTCATCCTGCTGTTGAAGGTATCATTTTAACTTTCCTAGTTTCATATATGATTTATCTTAAATTACACTAACAAAATGTGTAAATATATTATATTTAATAACAGTTTTTAGTATTTCTATCAAATTTGTTACGATTTAAACCAAACTGGATTTTAAAAGCTTGGATAAAATAATAAAGTAATCAGTAAAAATTGGGTTAATTTGCTATATAAGGTACATAGGAAGCTACAAATTACAAAACCATATTTATATAGTATGTTTTTGTCTTTGTGCATGAATTATATACACAAATTCAAGTTTTAAAAAAAAAACACACATAAGATATATAAATGAAATTTTTATTTTTGAATTTGCAATATGTTGTTCATGCAAGTTAGAGGGTAGAAATTTGACTAATCTAATACATATACTCTATACATATAAAAGTACTTACATTCATTTTTATTTTTATTTTATTTTTATTTTATTTTAAATGAAATGATCTAAAAAAGTGATTAATTATCCTTTTATTTTCAAGACATTTCTTTTTGTTTTGTTTTTACTATCAAATAAGAGTATATGGGAATCATACTAAGATGGATATATATTTGATGGTAACAGGAATAATGTTATGGGGTTTTTGGGAACTATCAATGAGTAGACAGGACGCAAATTTGGTGGAAGGAGAAGGAGAAGTAAACGAAGCCGGGAAAAGATTTCTTGATGTGAAGCAAGAATGGCTATCTCATGCATATGGGATCATCAATGATGAATCAGAGTTCACATTCAGAGGCTACCAAGGGACTTACGCAGTCGAAATTTGTACTCCGGCCGGGATTGTTCTGAAAACGTTCGTCGTCGAAAAAGGAGACTCTCCACTTGTTATCTCCATTGATCTCTCTTCTTTGTGATGTTTGAGTTCTTTCTTCTTTCTTATATATGGTTGGGGATTTGTTTTTCGTGAGGCATGTAACATATGTACAAAAACTTATGTTATGTCTTTTGTTTTTGATTGTTTTATACATTTCCAATAAAAGCATGTGAATATATATGATGATTGTTATGAAAATATTTGCTTGAATATCAGTTCAAATAGAATAGATTTGTATGATAAGGTAAGGTATTAAGATTTAAGGAACTCACATTTGTGTGAGCCAATACCTAATTGGTTTACATAGTAATCAGAAATGCATGCGGTCTAACTACCTTTTGACATTAGTCGGTAAGCATTTCAAACTCGAGATGGATAGTGTGGTGACTTTTTGGAAAATAGTTCATTCTGAAGTATTTTGGTGCGTTTTTACCGGAATATACCGGATTAGCCGATAGATTTATTGATAAAAAAATTAAAAATAAAAGTATGGAACCGAACTTGACTTTATTATAGCTTGGCCTCTGTCATACGTACCTTGATGTGTTCCCACATAGGAACGGTGGTACTAGGGAAGTCTTTGTCTTAACTATTATTTCTATACTAGCTTGGATCGTACTACTTTAGGAGAAATGTAATACCATGGGCCTGGATAGAGATACGAACCACTAAGGAGGTGATAAGTCATGTAGGGTTTAAAAGGAACACTCTCATATGGCCTAATGGCTTAAAAGCATTAATGGGCTAGCTACATTTGGTGTTAATTTAAAAGTGCAAGTTTTAACAGTATCTAAAGTTTCTTTGGATATTTATAAAAGATCTTTAGGAATTTTAACCTTCTTCAAAATGAGATAGAGAATACAATTTCATTTGTGGCAACTTTACTTTTGAATTTGTGGTCATGACTAAAATATATATGATATGAGGAGAATGATGACTTGGTTGTTGAGGTACATTTCATGTTATATGAGGGATACAAATTAAAAAGCGTGCAACATGTTCATATCATCATGAGCCTTCATTAGCCGACCTTCACTTCTATGAATACCATATTGTGACACCCTATACACACATGCACACCTCTCATCTTATATCACAAATGGGGATAGTATCACATTGATGCATGGTTTCCATGATTGCTCTTGATGTATAACATTTTTAATCATCATTAAATTTTTATCTTTGTTTTATTAATCATAAGTTTGTTTCTCTTAACCTCCAACTAATCATATTCTTTGTTCTATCTTCATTTATATTCTATATCTATATATATAAAGTTAGCTTTTTCTCTCTTCTCATGATGCCACCTAAGCATCCACCTAACCCACATTTTTGTTTAAATATTAAAATAAATTTAAAACATTCATTTAGTGCATATTTATGTTACTTATTTAATTAATATAAATTTTATATAAATAAAACAAATTATGTAAAAAAAATGAAATGTTAAAATAAGAAAACAATACTTTAATTTTTTTTATTAGTGGTAATAATATTATTCAACTTTCATTTTAAATTGATCATAATTTAATATTTTAAATATGTTACTGACTTTTAGAATGGAAGTAAAATTTAAATTTATGGTAGACTAAAACAACATTTATGTAATTGTATATATAATATATAAAGAGGAAAAATAAAATGAAAGTGAAATATTAGTTTATAACATGATCAAAAAGAAAAAAAATGATATTTTATAAATTGAATCAGATGCTTTTAATCCAAATTTGAGTATTGAAAGATAATAATTAAAGAGAAAATAATTATAATATTTTTTGAAAATCAATTAAAAATAATAATAAAATATCACAATATGAATAAAAAATCAACGAAACAAAATTATAAACCTCCCGCGCGGAGCGCGGGTCAACTGCTAGATTCGGTAATGAATGGCTTGTATAAAGTTATTTTGGGTTAGAATATGTTATAATACAATGAATTTGATTGATTACAAGTGCTAGAGATGCATGAAGAATGTTTAAAAGTGAAGAGAAAGACTTGTTCATATTTGGTCCCAAATGGGATAAGAACTTAAAACCATTGCTTTTAGGCAGTAAATGGCTTGTAAAAAGTTACTTTGGGTTAGAATATGTTATAATATAATGAATTTTATCGATTACAAGTGCTTGAGATACATGAACAATGTTTAGAAGTGAGAAGAAAGACTTGTTGATATTTGGTCCCAAATGGGATAAGAACCCAAAACCATTGTTTTGAAGTTGCCAAGTCTATGACTATGTAGATTCGGTAACTTAAGTATGTAGAAGAAAATAACAAAAGTGATGATACCAAAAGAAACAATGATGTCTTTCATTATCCAAGGAAAATAAAGATCAAAGAGTCTTTTGATTTGCTTAATCATCACAGTATAATTTAATATTAATTTAAAAATCTGTATGTTAACATGTAAATACAGTATAAATCAGGGGCAGACCCAAAAAAAAAATTAAATAGGTGCAAAAGGTAGAACATGAGGCTCAAACCCATGACCTCAAACACTACATGGGGCAGTTTAACCATTTTGACACTTTAACTTTAATTTTAATATAAAATTTTTAGTTTTTAATAGGTTAGTGGGTGCAACTGCCCCCACTTTCTTCTATGTGGGTCCGCCCCTGAGTATAATGTCATATGGTAAGACTCAATTGTGTGTTCTATCATTTAAAAGTAAATGCATAAATTGGTATTTAAGTGTTTTTGTTATGTTTGCGCCTCTGATTTATTTGAATAAAAAAAGGACAAGCAAACATTATGTGAGATCGTAAATCTATTCAAATGACCGGATTAACATATTCCGGAAATTTCAATACCAAATGATAGAGAGACCGCATAGTTTGCTAATTTATCACCAAGACGATTAACTTCTTTATACACATGCGTAACCTCAGAAAAACTTATATTAACGTATTAAATATTAGTAAATTGAATGTAATATTAAATCAGATTCAAAAGAAAATAGCATAATAATATGTTACCACCAAATTAACAGAATTTTAAAAACACATTCAACTAAAACCCATCTCAAGTTCTTACAATGTCCTTTGTTATTAGCTAATATCAACTTAACAATCATGTATATTTCTTAAATAAGTATTTTTTTCTCCCTTTACCAAATTAAGTCAATAGAAACAAAAACAGTTTTCATTTCTTTTTTCTTTTATTCCTAAAACAAAATTAATTTAATAGAGAAGATGGAATGTGGGCCAATGAAATGTATAAACTATATAATAATACTACAAAACAAAAATTAAAAATAGTAAATGTGATAAGAAATAAATAAAAATAAGTGTGAACAGTAAAGGACAGTCCTTGGGACTAGACTAAGTGGGAGTGATGAGAGAGGTCTGAGAAGAGGAGGCAAAGTCTCTCTAAAAAAGCTCTTTTCTTTTCTTTCGTCTGGTAACTTTCAGATCTCAGTTTGTTAGTATCTCTGTCTTCAAAAAAAAAAATAATTGACCCACTCCACACTTCACTCTCATCTCTCATATCTTTTTTCAGTCTCCTTAAATCTAACCCCATTCTATAATTTACTTACATGTCTTGTGTTTCTGTCGTTGCTCTTGATTACTACTTATAGAACTACTCAATCAAACATTAGTTTTTTTTTCTTTTATTTTTAGGATTTTTTTCTGCGCATAAATTATCCGAATCTTCATTTTCGCAACATTAGCCTACAAATATAAAAACTACAAAAAAATTATGTTATATAAACCGTAATTCTACGATCAAGTTTATAAAACTTTGCTAAATAATATATATTCAAACATGAGTTTTTTTATATAAGTATAGACTTTTCCGGGCAATAAATCATTCCAATTGTCGTTTTTGCAACTTTATCCTACAAATATACAAAACAATATACGTTATATAACCCGTAACTCTACGATCAAATTTATAAAATTTTGATACATAATATATATTAAAGTCCTCGTGAGAAAAAATTTAAATCTACTTTTAAAATTATTAAAACTAAAATTATTAAAACTAAATTTATATAACCGTAAAAACGTTTAAAAATCACGTACAAAATATATACTACGTATTTATTATGATAAATTTACATTTTTTAAAAACAGATAATAAAATTGCAAAAATTGACGAATTTATTCCAATAAAACTCGGTTCTTATATATTTTTTCCGGCTTATTCAAGTCCATCTTTCACTATTCATAATCCACAATCCAAATCCTAATTTTTAATACACAAACACTAATTTTGACCGTTGAATGCGTTTAATCTAATAGGGATTACGTCCTTGTCTTTATCTGTCGGCCAAAAGATATATTTAGATGCTTTAGCTTTACAGAAAATCTTAATTACTATGTTAATCAATAAACCAAAATATTATCTGATTTGGTCACTACTGTAAAGTCTTATAAAATTATTTTATAATTTCAAATCAATGCATACGTTCATCCACAGTCTTTATACCCTAAATTGTAATTTTTTGGAAAATACCTCGTTTAGATCTCTACTATTGCTATTTTTTTTTTGTTAACAACCTACAATATAGAATCATTTAGGAGAAAATCTCTCTTTTAATGGTATTTGTAAATTTTACCATTTCGATTTTAATATTTTTGATTTGTCATTTTGTTTACACTTTATGTTTGGATTTTTCTAGGGTTTAGTGTTGGCTATTGATTAAATTAGTAATTTTTTAAATATATATTCATACGTATAGATTTTTAAGTAGCCAAAATTGATAAATTTACAAAGTTATATAAGAAATGGAGAAATCATAATATCTAGGTGATAATAAACTGACATTTTATGTAATAATCTCTAAAAATGTGTTGAACTCTTTCTTAATAGTACATAATGCAAAAAATGAAAAAAGGTGGAGTATATATATATATATATATATATATGTAGCTAAATTTAGGTAAAAGCAAAGTAGAAAAGGGTTTGTTTAGCTTCTCTTTCACATCAATAAATAAAAATGCTTAGCAGCTGTATTATGAGATCGAAATCATGGACTAATAAAAAGAAAAGATAGATAACTAAAACACAAATATGTGAATGATATGTTTCCACGAGATTCTTATAAATTATTTTACATATTTATTAATTGCATCATCACAAGACAAACAGCATCATGCCTTTGTCTTCATGTCGGTTTATAGTTGCTCCATCTTTTCTTGTGTTATAAATTATCAATCTCTTTTCATTTTAATA